ATAATGTTCTCATTTCCAGTTTGGCCCAATTTTGATGTGGCATGTCCAGTTGGGCCCAGTTTTAATATGTCATTTATTGATTCTTCATACATAGCTCTAATTTCTGACTGGCAAAAATTTCATACAGTAAATTTCGGTCAGTAATGATTGGCTCCCAAAACAACCCCTCTGATTAATCAGATTCAAGTTGTTATAACATTCAAACTTAAACTCAATGAACAAGTAGCATACATTTGTAATTTGCTCTCTAATTACCAAAGAGTGGATCTAGGGACTAGGCGTTTTAGAGTGAAATCACTAATTTTAGAATACAGTGAAAAAGAATCAGTCAATTGAATCTCAGCAAACACTCAAGCTATTTGATTAAATGAATTTCACTCTAAAATTCACTCTGGTCCTAAGTTTTATTTGGTGGAAGCGAAGAGTCATTTGAATACATGTAGAGTGAAAAATGTCTTTGGAAATTTTTTAGTCATTTAAAAAATTTTCAAAGAAATTTCATTCTTTGGAAATTGTATACAGTGTCAGACATGAATTTGGCCTTCACTTTAATTGCCCTTGTGTGCAATCCTGCATACATACGTGTACTTTATTATTTCCAAGAATATTCTGGTAAAAAAAGCTTGCTCGGGCAAGATTGGAACCTATAACCCTCACAGGCTTGTGTAATATTAACCAGGCAGTATAATAAAATGCTGTGTGTGAAAATATCTTGCAAGTGGCTTTCCTGAGCGAGTATTGCCAGGAACATAAATAATCTTGTCATGAAAATCCCATGGTGACCATTAAGAATTTGGCTTAAACAGCAATGATCTGATACTTTATATGCGCGATTGAATGCAGGAATCCAGCATTATTTGTACAAAACTACTGCCCTTCATAACTTAATTTCTGTCTCTCTATACACACCTGTGTATACATGTACCGGTATGAAGGGTTCGGCCTTAGCGGTAGTTGGCCCGCCAAATGCGAATAAAAACAGCGGCGGACTAGTCAAAACCATTCCGTAAGCAGTCCGCCCGGCGAGTAAAAATTATTGTAATCAGCCATGCAACTTTCCTGCATTTCTGCAGATTTTCACATTAAAAAAAAAAAAACTATTGAAAAAATTATCTGATACTGACGCGCCTTTGGCTTGTTTCATGCCGTGGCGCCGCGGAATCTTGCGCCGATATCGCTAGTGTGTAAATTCAAGGAAGAACATTGTCTGGCACTGCATTTTGTGTAGGTATATGAAAGCATAGAAAAGTACAGGACACAGACTTCGTACAAATTCCTTATTATGAATAAGCATGTCGCCCTTTATTTACTTTGGGCTATAAGTCTGATTCCATAGTTTTTTTCTTCACATGCATGAATGCGTTGGGATACAGACACTCATTGGAAAACCATGGCGAACGTAGTGTTAACTGGTCGAATTTGACATCGTAAAAATGTCACGAAAACATCGGTGGAAGAAGTCAAATACAAAAATAAACACTCGCAGACTAGTGAAAAGGCCCGCAGAATAGTTCAGAGTATGTTTCACTAGTCCGGGCTGACTAGTGAAAAAAAAGAAGAAGTTAAGGGCGAACCCAGCACATGCATTTTGAACCTCAAATGAATTGTGACTTAAATTATGACAAATTTTACAGATAACTTATCATACAGGTATACTTTACATCTCCAAGATTTAGGAAAAGAGGTTTTTTTGAGGGGGATTGAGGAAAGTTCATGGAGTGAAAACCAGTATTGTAATCATCTTAGAATGGTACATTTTAAATATCTGGTGCCCCTTTAAGGGGCAAGTCAAAAAGATCTAGCTTTTTTATTTTGCCCTTTTTTTAATGAAAAGTGAATTTCGATTTTCAATTATTTAGCTTGACCCACCCACCCACAATTTGGAAAAAAAAGTCGAAATTTAGAAACATTGAACATTTTGAATGGCCCCTTATGTGATTGGTCACACAGCTATCCTCTCCCACAATTAAAATATACTCAAATTTTCTGTATAAAACATTTTGCTGATGGTCAGATACAAGATACTGGATCAGATCCTCCAACAGTCATCCTCACATTGGATTGATTCCTTGGAGCCTTGGAGGCATTGACAGTCAGTCCCCTGACACTTTTGCAAACTGCATGCATTTAGCTCCAGGCTGCTTGGCGGTTGAAAGCCAAAAATCAAGTATGCATGCTGATGCATTTAATTGTTCTCCCTCATCAACTGCAATTTTACACAGGTATGGTCTCACAACCTTGAATGGTGACGACATACATTCGTGTATGTAAATGTGCATTTGATTTTACCAGACACAAATGTATGTATTTGCTCGCTTCTTTTTTCCAGATGCTGTTGACATGTTACACTTGAAGAGTTGATTTCCAAAACACCATATCTTGGAAAAAGTGAAAAATTTGCCTGGTTATGAAACTTTACCGAATAAAAACATTATAACAGCTGTTTCTAAAGTTCATTTTCCCCTCTATATTGTATTCCCATATTATGTGTACACGTATGTAAGTATTATGACAGGTGTTTGAAATGACTTTGGGCAGTCAGGAGATGGCAGGATTCTAAAAGTTAACAAAATGGCATTTACATGTATCACGTCGCTTCACTTTTAATACATTCACAATGTTTTGCATTTGAACCAAAATTACTTTAAAGGGAATACAACATTTGTAAACATCGAAAAACAAAACTACCAAGTTTTTACGAAATACCTTACAAGGATGTTGGTAAATGACAGTCTAAAGCATCCTGTAAAATTATGGCACCTCGTGTCAAGTCATTTTTTAAGAAATAGGTATGTTTGTATACATTTCCAACGGTGGTCGGCTGACCACCGTTGGAAAATCCTAACTATTTTTCAACTACTGCTCCAAATTTACCATTTTTTTTTTCAGTCAAAATGTTGTCTGTTATTGGTTACATGTTCATGAACAGGTGCAGGCCAGCTAGACTGGTTCCCTTACCTTACAATTTTCCGGCATCTATAAAAGATCCATTTTATCTTTACTGGAGTCAGGGAACCAGACTACTTGAGCATTTTTGTTTTTCTTGGTTTTTCCAGCATTTTTCAAAACAAAACTTCAAACAGGTCAGTGTAACAATATTTGATCTATTATACTAACCCCTCAAATAGTTCATTTCTGAAAATTACAGCAAAAGCCAATGATGTACATTCCCTTTAACAAGTAAATTGCGTGAACTGCATACAATTCTATAGAGCTCTTTAAATAAAAGAATTAATGTCACTGATGATGATCCGGAATTAATTTTTCACACCCATACAATACATAGTATGAGCATTGCTGTATTCACATATGTGAAAAGTATGCATTGGTAGTGCTCAGGTGCAGAGCAGTCAAGTATAAAATGGGTTACAGTTCATTGGTGTGAGATTTGCAGGTTGGTTGGCGATACGTGTGATTTCTTGGACGACGTATGGCTCATCAATTTCATTGCTCTTTATCCTTTGTATTATTAGCTGTGGTTGGTACATGTAGATGTCTGTCGAAAATTGAGATTCACAAGTTCTTGTCAAAAGTCCGTCTTGTGAATTGAATGTCCTTCGATGCAATTTGAATGTTAAATTTTTGTTGGAATTGGAATGAGATTCGGAAATGCTGCAAGGAGAAATTCTCGCACTGTCCTTGTGCAGTGGGCTAAAATTCAAGCAGATTCCTTCAATTCATTTTTGAGATGTCACCAGTAACGTACTATTTGACCAATCATGCAGCCTGGGGCGTAACCATCAGATATGTACCCTAATCTCACTACACCAACCTCAGTTAAACAATACCATATTGTGCTATTGTCTTCAGAGGTGTTTGTATTGTAAAGAAATGCATTGACCTTCGAATCACGAATTGGGAAAATTTAAGTGGGGACCTATATTAACCAGTGCTCTTCAACATAATTTATTTTTTCTCCTACATGTAAAAAATGATAAATTTTACTTAAGTGGAAAGAATTACTCTAAGTCTTTTCTATTTCCAACCTCCTGAAAATACACAGTTTTGGGTTGCTTTTGCACCCGCAATGGAACAAAAAGTCTTAAAGATACGGTATACGCCAGAATTCTTGTTGGGCCCGCAAATAATTCAAAATTTGCAAGTAATTATTCTATAAATTAACATGTGGAGATTTTTTATTTGATGGCGCATTCAAAAGGGAAAAAGTTTTGTACTGCTAGATAAGACATAACAGTTAAAAAACAAAATCTGTTTTGAGGGGTGAAACTCAAAAATTCCATGGGAAGGGGAACTCTAAAAAGGACTGTGTTCACATTGCACTGATTTGCCTTTGCTGGGTTGTGTGATCCCAAAATGCAGTTTTGAAATGTTTCTGAGGTAGTGTGCTCACACATCTCGGTCAAAATCCCTATACATCAGAGCACCATATTGAAACACGTTCACGTGCACTGAGTCCCTCAGCAATGTTGGCAACCTGAGAGTATGTACAGTCCCTTCAGTATGATTCCCCGGGATAGTTGTCTGAAATGCAGAGTGATTCCCTCAAGAGAGTGCTAACCGAGTGAAGTGATCTGCCTGCAGGACTCAAGTCCTGTTCTAGAGGCAATATTGTTTGTGAAAGAGGTCTCCAAGTGTTTAACAGCTTGTCGGGTTGGATGCTTGATTGTACCTATACCGGTATCCATGTTCTCATCAATTTAATTGCAAATGAGATTGTGAGTTGTGCAAAGGGCAAAACCCACTACTGAATTTACATCTCCCTGACGCAAATTGCATCTTATAAATAGTTTGGTTGCGGTACCCACTGCTATAAAAGACTTGAACCAGCCAGCCGACCCCAAGCAAGTTCGGAGGTCGAGTGGTAAGACATCTGCACAAGTAAGCAGGAGTTTGCCGGTTTGAGTCCTACCGGGTTAGCTTGCGAACTTTTTCTTTGCAAGTCCTCAGACACCACTGAGTATACAGTGTTTATAAAAACAGTGACTCTAAAAACATATGAATACAGACTTTAATTTCCCCTCTTTTTTTTTTCTTTTCAGCTACCACCAAAGAAGATGGGAGGACCGAATGAAGACGCCCTACTCATCTACTCATACAAATCTCAGGAGAACAACAACAAAACCGCTAACGATGTCATTGACAAGTAGTGGGATGAATTTTGTTTGGTCCCAACATTGTTCTGTTCTTTGTCCAATACATCAAGCAAAACAAGCTTGTTATTTTCCTTTTCCATAGTGGGAAAATCATGTTGAACTTGGTAACTTGGTTCTTACTTTTTATTATTTATTATTTTTTAATTCTGGTATAATAAATGAAACCAAGGATTCCTCAAAAGCGCCCTAGGCACTGTAGCTCGCAAGCCTGAAGAAACCTGTAGAGTGAAGGCAATGAGAAGAAATGACAGTTTTAGAGGTGGGAGGAAAACCCCCGAAGAATATTCTGGGCAAAACCCACAAACTGAGGCAGGGACTGAAAACCCAATCCACATGTTGGCCCAGGCGGGATTCGAACCCTGGTCACAGCGTCGGAAGGTGAGGAAAGTACCGCTACACCAAACTGACTTATGATTACATAATTGAAGAACCCGGCTTCATGCTTTGCTGTTTTTGGATTTGGCAGGGTGCCCAGAACAAAAACAGGGGGATGGGACGGGGTTATGGTTAGACAGATTGTTGCTTGCACCCACCAACATTGCAAATTTCTGTTTACGCATGGTGCATGTTGCACATATAGTTGGTGTAAGAATAGCCATCACAGCACCCATGGTGGGTTGTGCATTGGGAACGAGTGAACAAATAAACGCTGTTTTTATCACATTGTTAAGCTACAGTAGGTCATTGTCAGAAGACACATATTAGTTATAAGATATAAACCTATAAACCCAAAATATATTTTAAAAATTCAAGATTTTATAACAAATTTAGAACAATAAGTAAACGACATATTTGAATATACGTGATGGTGCAAATCTCAAAATGAATACACAGTATCAAACTTTTGCAAAGAGAATTTTCATGGATGACAAAGTTACAAATAATTGAAAACAAAAGAGAGTATGAATAGATATCCTTGAAAGTTAATCTGTAACTCCTGGCAGTGCTCTGATGGCAACAATGTGAATCATTACAAAGGTTTTAGAACCACTAACTTATGTACAGTGTAGTATATTGCTCATTTATGCAGACCGTCTCTGAAATTGGATATTCTTACCATGGAGGTAGGAAATTTTCCTACCTCCATGTTCTAACACTGCCATTACCTAAATACAGTGATAGTCTGCAATTGTAGTTTCATACACAAAACATAAAGGACATAGTTTATACCACACACTGTGCTTAGCTTGAAGGAATTTGTGGTACATTACTTAGGAAAAACTATCCAAGGGAGCATTCCACGAGCCCATTGGGAGTAAAAATTTAGCAAAATGCTATGGTGCCATATTGCATCAGGCAACAGTTGTTAAATGTAGGCCTACATAATTATTGCCAGAGTTGTGCGGAGTAAGACATGATTTTCGCATTTCACTGTTTAATGTGGTATAGTAGAATGCTCCCTTCCACAGTGCCAGGCTATCTGGAAGACTGCAAAGCTGTAAATAACTCGATTTAATAACTTGAATAACTGATGATTGCTGATGCATGTGTCTATGAATGTATTGCGCTGCATGAAATACACACTTTTTTGCTCTGGATTTACTGCAATGGAGTCGGGGTTCCAGAGAGAATAAATGTACATGTACGTATATATGTATAGCCATCAGATAGCCATCATTTTGAAATTGTTGTTTTTAGAAAAGATCCAGAATTTAGAGGGATTTGCGATAATCTTCTGCAGGTTGATATGGATGTATTTTCAAAACAGGAAATCATTTGTTGCTGGGTTGCAATAGATTGGGGCTCTTGGGGATATTGTATAGCCATCAGTAAGGCCAAAAAAAAGTCTCCGGTTTCTGGTATGCGCGCCCGTCGCCGTAGCCATGCGCGTCGGCAAAATGAAAAAGTATTTTTTTTCAATGAAAGATGATGTCTCAAAACCGCCAAACTCACTGGTTTGACTGGAATCCTGCTGCTGCACAATTTTAACGTGTTTTTAGATTGGGTTATGGTCGAGAATAAGCTTTATGTGGCCTCTATGGACTCCCATATATTTGCACTAAGTTTAGTCGGGCACCATTTGCAGTCATCAGCCGACATTTAAAGCAAAAAAATCAGGTAAAAAAAAAAAAAAAGCCGCGTCGCCGCACCACTTTTGGCAAGCTCCATACCAGAAACCGGAGACTTTTTTTTTTTGGCCTAAGACTTTTTTTTTTTTTTTAATTTTTCAATTGTTACATACATGTACATGTGTGTGGAAAAATCGTTTAGTATTTAGTGGGAGTGAGTTTTGAAAAATAAATCTCCCAAATGTTGATACGGGCACCAGAGTACAAGAAGTAGTATTTAATGTTGTAATTGCATCTGCATATGCCTATGTGCATACATGTATAGCGACTGTTCTCCACCATAGTCTTGGTTGTTTACTGTTAGTTATCCCACGAGCGCGAGTGGAACATGAAATAATGTAGTGCGTCCATAGAGCTATATTAAATTACTAGAGCGCTAACTCGATGTACAAAGTAATGCCTGATGGGTGCATCCATGTTTGTTCACAAACCTATGGAAAACTCGAAATTTTGTACGGCTTTTTTACGGCTATTTGCATATCTGCGTTTGTATTCCATATTGATGCGTCATCGAAGCCGATACGCCCAAAACCGAAACGCACGATCAGCAAATGAGCGTTTCATTTTGCTCTACGCAAACAGCACAACGTGTGCGCGTCCCTCCGCTGCTGATGCTTTTCGCCGTGACGTTTTTTTGAACCGTCATGACGCGCTTAAGTCTGCGCCCAAAGCGGCTTCAAAGTGTCTCTGCATGCAAGAATGAGGAGTTAGCGCTCTAGTAATTTAATATAGCTCCATGAGTACATCTGTGTCGCACGTACTTACATTTTCCATGTTCCACGAGCACGATTGGATTTATCTTCGCTCAGTTATGAACACGCATGCAGTACAAAAAGATAAATTTTGTAATGTACAGCTTGTGCTGTAAGCATGATATCATAGGCAACATGATCTGAATAAAGTCACAAACCATTGTGTTGACAGATATTTTCTGTAAAAATACAAGGTAGACGTAGACGGGAAAATGTAGATTCTTGTACTATGCTTGCTGTGGAAGATATTAGGCTCATATTGTACAATTTTTGTGCGTACATTTATGTGGCTATGTGATGTGGGATTTAGCAGGTATTTGTCCTGATAAGACTTTCTACTTTCCTTATAAATTCTCAATCATGTCATTTGTGCAGTGCATGATACCGTACTAGTAAGATTGCTTCATATGTAGATTTTCTCATACAGTATGTAGTTATTTAGATGTTAAAAGGTAGGATAGAATTCATGCACACAAAATATTTACTCATTGCTTTATGTTAATGCCGAGTGAAAATATATTTTCTTAACTAACTCTTCTAATTTCAATACTTTTGAAAGTACCCTTCAGTCTATGTGATACCTTGATATATTTAAATCTTCTTTGAAATTAAGTTGCTCACCTTGATTACATGTTGTATAGTAAATGCTGTTTATAGGCAATACAAATGCGTCACAAGAATGCAGCACAAAATTTGAATATCCCACCAACGGTGACAAATTAATCATTTATTGGTCGATATTGGGCCCGTGCAGTGAAGGTTATTATTTCCCCTTGAAAACCGGCTTTAGTCTAGATTAATTTCACTTCATTATGAACATGAAATATATGTAAGGAATATATGTCATTTATAATATAGCCAAAAGTGTAGATGTACATTACGTCATTAAGTCTGATTAAGAATATAGACAAAAGTTCAGATCATTTGTAACTGAAATATGCAAATGATTCTCTCACACTGTTAAATGTCAGTCCACTAATATTTCATAGAAGTCGTCTAGAAAATGCTGTGGAAAAAAAACAGAAAGAAACATTCATTTTATATTATTTATCATTGCAGTACTTTTAGAAAAATATTTAATCCCAAAAATGTTTGTCTTGAAATACTAATATGCAAAGCATGGTATCTTGTGTGAGGTTTCTTTTACTTTCAAATTATACCGTACAATATGCAAGCATTCCTTCATTGACATATTTTATGCTGTTTTGAAATATTTATTTGTAACTCTTCCACATCGGCTTTGCTATCTGTATTTTTGGTGTGTGGGCTTTCATAATAATTTATATAACCAATCTATTTGTTGCAAAACTAAGATGAATATGACCTTCTGTTTTTAACAAATTCGCATGTATTTAGCATAATTGAGTTGAATTAATTCATTTCATTAGCAATTTATAACAAGTACATTTGATGCATATTATTTGATATTAATTATGAAAAACGTATGTTTTGAAATTATTACTACACTGGGAAAAGTAACACAGAGAGGAAAAAATGCAAATCATTACATAATGCATGGCTACCAGGCAAAATCGAAATCCTAATTGCTAATGAGAATGCACATTATGAGCATTACTTGCAAGGTGTTAATATAACATGGAACAAATGAATAAGGAGGGTCAATTTTTGCCATGTTGACATTTTCCACCATCAACAAGTTAGATGGATTAAATTCTGAAGAAGTGGAGAACTCCTAAGACTTTTCCAGTTAAGAATGCAACAATGACATCTTAAATTGCTTGGCCAGTACAGAAATAGTTTAATTCAAGCAGAATATTAAATATCTCCATTCTCTTCATATTCATTATATTAAACGACACTAAATAAGCATTCCATTTGTAGCCAAAGGGAGCGTAAATCCGCTTGTTTCGTTAAGTTTTAATCATGCAAAAGGTTTTTTTTCTCTATTTTTATGGCTATTACTTCTGCTTAAGAAAATCGAAATAAAATATTATGTATCTATATTGTGCAGTCTTGCAGCAGTCATGTTCTTGAACTTTTTTTTTTGTTCAGTCAATTACAATGTATGTGATTTGTCCTGTCTTTATTTATCCATTAATTTTGAACACAGGAGATTGTCTTTTCTAAAGTCAAGGTGCATATTAGGTTTTGAACTAATTGCCTGCTAAACCATAGTGTTAGGTTCACCACCGATTTCGAAAGAACAGCTCATAATTCGTAGACTTCTTTTTGACTATCTCCCCCTTTAAAAAGAAAGCAGTTTTCCTTTGTGAAGAATTTTAAAAAGGTGACTGGTATACTTATTGACTACATTTAAAGGGGGAAAAGTATTTCAATTCTACGTTTGCCTGAACATAAATAAAAACAACAATACTTCAGAAACTGATTCGTGCATTTAGCCAAGCCGTTCTTCTACACAAGCACAGCAAGCCTATACTACTTTCAAGGTCTTTACAATGTTTTGTATATTGACAAATTCGACTTGACATAAAAGACTGCCTTTTTCCATTCAAATGCCCCTTTTTCACCAGCGCTGAAACCACCAATATAACAGTGCCCTTTTAAATATTTCGTCAACAAGTGCCTTTTTTTCTGAACAAGTGCCGTTAAAAAAAAAAAAAAGTTGTGCAATTTTGTGTGCCATCAGCCGTTCCGGGTGCCTTTTTTATTTTTCAATTACGCGCATGTATCGCCCTGAATGCTAGCACCATATAATATTGCCCCCCCCCCCACTATTTGATTTCACGGAGGCACGGAATAAATATGTGGGAGCACCTCCATTTTACCTCAATTAAACCATTAAAACTCCCCCCCCCCAACACGCCCCCCTGGGATGAGAACCCTTGGCTACGCCGCTGGGCTGTAGTAGTAGTAGTACCTGCAGGAATTATGCAAGAACGAACACCTATGATAATGGCAAAATGTGTTCCTCTATAAAAGTCCCTGCTGGTGTTCAAGATACACAAAACAAAAATTTGTAACAGAGATTAAGAACCAAGATTGGAACAAAAGTATGTTTTGATCGTTCTGGATAACTTGTAACCAATAATAAACTCCTGGGACATTTGTATTGATTGTGTTTATTTGTTTTCCTGGTTTTCGGGGGTTCGATCAAAACTAAATTCAGTTATAGGCGCAGCGCCACCATGCGTTGGAACTCGTTTCATTCGCCACAAGACACGTGTATGTACACCGGTACCGGTCCGTGCACGCTAGGCAGCTCAGATTTTGATGGGGCCGGGGCTATCGCAGCTGAGCATCTGTCAGGAGTCAACTGGATACTTCTTGAACAATCTTTTGGAGCCACAAATTAGGAAAGAAAGGTCTAGCTTTATTTTAGGCCCTCTGGCTCTGCAATAAAATGAAACTTGAAAGATTGTTGCAACCTGACGCCACCTCGGCGTTGTGTACAAAGTCTATGGAGAGTCAAGGAAATGTTTCATGTCTTGTCATCATTTTGCAATGACTGACCTTTATTTGGATGATATGTGAAGAAAAAAAAGCAGTGACAGGTTGCAACATTGCAGAATTTAATGAAATTTGCTGGAGGTTATGATACCGGTAGGCCTACAAATTGGCCTAGCATTTGCCTAGTTAATATTTTATCATGTTTATTTGATGTTGTTTTTATTCCTCCATGATGTAGGCTAACATGGCTAACTAATATTAATAAGATAGTGGATATATTGCCGGCGGCAATCCCTATCAACAGAGGGCGCAGTACTCTCTAAGATAGGGCTGAATTATAAGATATATTAAATTACTACCAATGGTTGTGTAGCACCTGTGGCCTAGTGGATAAGCAATGGATCTCATAATATTATTATTATTATTATTATTATTTATTCGGCCAAGATTTGCAACAAACATATAAAGAGAATATGACAATGTAACTCAAGAGGAGACAAGATTACAAGTATAAGAAGTCATGAAACAATACAAATAAGTGTTAACAAAAGCAAGGAGCTATGAATAAAGGCAGCAATGATATATGCGGGAAGATCCGGGTTTGATCCCCGCTGGCAAAATTAAAAAAAAAAAAATTTCCCCATTCCCAAAAAATATGAATATTCTTCTTTATTTTTTTAATCATGTCTCAAACATTTTATTGCAGAGTATTACATTTACATACAGATTTGTGGCTCTGGAAGTGGAAGATGTTTTTTAAAGGGAAATGAAGTCTGAAATTGTAGAATGGTCTGATTCCCATCTTGTGAATACAAAGTTACATCAATAATGTTGGCATGGAGCCAGACTAAAATTTGTCACCGGAAAATGTTTAAGTACAAAAAACCAGTAACTGCACATGTTCATAGTGCATATCCAGATCAGGCAAGCTAACGTTTACTAAGGTTTGTGGTCTCCGGCTAAATATTCACTGTCTGTGATTAGTGTGAATAATGAACTGAGTTTCCATATTATTTAAAATGTTGATGTATCTTACGTAGTATAGACCACGGCGAATGCCATGGTCTATTGGGCCTGAACAGATTCGCTGATTAATTAGGCAAGACCCCGCCTCTTCATCTAGATTTTAACCAATCAGTACAAATACTATTTGTTTGGTCTGTTACTAGAAATGGCGCAATCCTCTGGAGATGACCATGTGGTTCTATACCCAGCCTGCTTGGATGACGAAGGCGCAAGGGAGCTGGTCAGCAAGCTCTATGGCTGGTCAGTTGACCAGATCAAGCAACTTCCTGGCTACGACGATCTGAATTTCTTCATTAAGAGTAAGAATTGGAATCCACAATTTTTTTTCTGGTAAATTAAAACATTTTAAACAATTCAGCCAAAAGTTGTGTAAATATCTTTATTTTTTTCGTTTAAATGTTCAAACTTGTTAACGTCACATCCTTAGTCAAGAGCTCCAGCTCTGCCGAGTGCAGCGAATTTGTCCTGAAGGTGATCAACTCGCGAGAGTCCGGCAACCCCGATTGGATTCAGGCCGAGACGGACGTCCTTCTTCACCTGACGGAGTCTGGGATACCCTGCCCCACCCCTGTGAAAAACTTGAGCGGAGACTACCTCAGTTTGGAAGAGATTGTTGATAAATGTAAGATCAATGAAAACATTTGAACAACCTCATTTTTAAAAATCTTTGCTAGAGGTCAGTGTAGGGTTGGTTGCATTAACCTTCGTAGTCTTCTGCACTTCACAACCCTTCAAGTTTTGCAAAACCACTTTTGCCAATAGAGTTAGCACCCACATTTCAAATTCCTTTGAAGCAATCTTCTGTGGAGTATGGATAAAGGTGCCTTTCCATATCCACGCTTTCATCCCATGTTGTGTCCGTTGGGTATGCGTTGCGTTCGTGATGTGTTTTGCTCATGCGATTGACCTTTCCATTTTCATTCATGAAGTATGCGCACTGTATTTGGTTAGCAATGGAGGAAGAAGAAAATTGCATGCCGTCAAAATCAAATACGTTTATTGATTGCAGCCGCAGCGTCAATTTAAAGAATTCATTCCAATCAAGATTGAAAACAATGGGAATTAGTTTCTCAAATTTTCCAAAGCAGGAAAGACGATAGGGTTTACCATCATCTTGTAATGATTGATTGCACTTGCTCCAAGCACTGCGTATGCGTCAAAATCGCCCATGGAGTGATTTTATTATTATTATTATTATTTATTCGGCATTAAAAACACATACAAACAACAAACATTCACAAAATATAAAAAACAAAGACCAAGAAGACAAAAACAAAACAAAAAAATAGTCCAACAAAAAAAGAGTAAAAAATGCCCCCCCCCCATTATAGTTCAAAGACCCAATTATTGTGGATGTCCACATTAAACGTTAAAAAGTTAAAAAGTTTCAATGCACGCAATTTAAAAACAAATGAGGAAAATAATTCAACAAAACATGAGAAAAATGCCAACCCCCCCCCCCCCCCAGTAAAAAAAATGTTTCGTTGCAATTTTGACGGACGATCGGAACGGACACGCAGTGTATGCGTACATAATGATTAGGGACGTGTGCTACAATATGAAGCTGATTTTTGTGACCGTAAAGATGAAACGCATGAATGCAGCGCTCGCGCAACGTGTGCGTAACGGACCGAAAAACGTGCATATGGAAAGACGCCTTTACACTTCAAATTTCCTGCACAATTTTGTTATGTGGTTGAGGTATCAGGGCAAGCAGACAGATCGGGTTAAGCCACACTGCTCTCCGTAGTGCTGTTTCATTGTGGGGGCAGTGGCTCTCTTTGTGACACAGTTACTTTAACACTTCATATCCCTTCACAAAGTGTTTTACTATTGCTCTGAATAGTAACTTCCCATAAGGAGGGTTAAAGAGGTTGTGGAATGCTTGAAGACATTTCCGTCATTTTTCGGGTTTATGTAGCCTAAGGTGTGATGAAATAAAAACGACTATTGTGTCTGTCGTGAAATGAGTACAAAAGGTACTTTTGAGAGCTGTATTTCAGGTCCTGTTTCGACCCGAACGTGCAATTTGTGTAAAAGTTGTCATTGGGGGCAGCAAACAAAACTAGTAAATCGTGACGTAATAAACAGGACTCCCGATGCAGCGTAGTATAAACGAGTCCTGTTTATTACGTCACGATTTACTATGTTTTGTTTGCTGCCCCCAACGACGACTATTACACAAATTGCACGTTCCGGTCAAAACAGGACCTGAAAAACAGCTCTCAAAAGTACCGTTTGTACTCATTTCATGACAGACACAATAGTCGTTTTTATTTCATCACACCTTAGGCTACATATACCCGAAAAATGACGGAAATGTCTTCGAGCATTCCACAACCTCTTTAACAAATAAAAAGATGTGTGCAGGTTTTCCAATTGCAATTATGTTTCATATTGCATTTTCTTTTAGCTGGTAAGCAGCCGACAGGATTGAAGTTCATTGTACGCATGCTGGTATTCCTCCCGGGAACGATAGTCCGAGAACTTTATCAGCCAGGTACTACAGTGCCCGATAAGTGTTTCTATACGATGGGACAGTTTCTGGCAACCATTGACAAGGCATTGCTGGTAAGCACTTTTGTTAACTCACGTTGGACAATATTTTTTGTATTTCATCGTTCTTGCCTCCTCCACGCAAATTTTTATCAAAGTCATTTATAGTGGTACTAGTGGTGGGGGAAATCAGAGATTTCACAATCCGGTTATCCTTTTTATTTTACAAACTGAATAACGGTTATCTGATTTTACCGAAAGCTCACAGTCGCACCAACAAAACGTGACAGTTGAGGTACCGCACGCAGGGCCCTCCGCGAAAATTGTGTATTGTTTGCAGGATTCAGTGACCACTGGGCTTTTACAAAAACACCCCAGAGCTGTAATGTTTACAAAAAAAATGGGTGGGAACTCTTTGTTCAGTCAAAAGGGCTGGCTATTCATGAACAAAGAAGACCGAAGAAGTAAACGTGGTATTAAGTGGTACCCATCTCAAGCTGGTCTTCTGACATTTGCATGCACAGAAGTCAAGTTGTAAGACGTTTGCGTAATCAGCAGGAATCTGTGGATTCAAGCTCCACCAGTATAAAAACGCTTGTGATTTTATTTTCTCTCATGCCCGCAAACAGCACTCAATATACAGTGCTTATACACCAGTAAAGGACAAAATGTTTGTTTTTAACAATTTACAGTCCAAGACACACAGGCTTAGATCTTGGTGTCAAATAAATTCTGCTTTACAACAAATCTGCATAAAATGACAACTTTGCCAATATGACACAAGTCAAGAAAAAAAACGATTTCCGCAAACTTGGTCAAGAACATTTTCTCAACCTTGCAGGATTTCCAAGGGCCATCGATAGCACCCTTGGAGAAGAAGGCCAGAGAGTTTAGGTGGTCCCCAAACTGCATCCCGTTAGTGCGTGATATACTCTGGGCGGTCACGGACGTGGAGAAACGCAAGCTGGCCGAGGAGGTTCTGGAAGAATTAGAGACGCAGGTTGCGCCAAAGATGGCTGATTTACGACGATGTAAGGAAACAATTATCGATGTTGCCAAAAAAGTTTCTTGATGTTGAAAAGTCATAAACTTCTCAAGGGACATAGTCAGATTCCGATAAAGACAAGTAGTGGAGTGCTGTGGCCTCGTGGTGAAGGGCACTGGATTTGTGGTTTGTTGGTAAAGCTGCAGGTTGTGGGTTCGAGTCCAGCCTGGGGTCTTAGTTTCTGTGCCCTTGGGCAAGGCACTTTGTCATTCTTTGCTTCTCGTCACCCAGGAGTAAATAGGTACCTGTGAGGGCAGAGATGGTTATTGTGATTGAATAAGCTTGCTTGCGCCTAACGGGCTGCATCGAGCTGTATACTCCCTTGGGAGCTGAGATGGTATTTGGAATGTTTAATTGGCTCCATGATCAGGGGTAATAATAATGTAAAGCCATTTGATCTTAGTTAAAAGCACTATATAAGAAGCTGTGATTATTATTATTACAAAGAGAGGGTCCCCATGTTGTCCCGTACATAACACCCATGTTTCTTAAATTACGTAATCATTGCAAAGTCTAACAACATAAACATTCTTGTGGGTGTTCTCCTTGCAGATGCCCAGTGGTAGAATAAAAATAACACTGAAATCTGTGAATGTCTCAGGTTAAACTTGGGTTACGTATGGGACATAATGTGCACGAATTCTTGGACTTGCCCATAACCTGGTTCATTCTTTTACTGAAAAGTTGCCTTTTTGTGGTTTGCTTGAATTTGCCCTGCCAGTGACCAGTAGCAGTCACAGTCTGGAAAGTTTGTTCGATTACACTGTCACTGGTCAATATCATTTTTGGAATAATAACGCTAATTTCTAAATCATTTCCACCTTCCTTTATCTTCCAGGAAATCTAGCACCATGTAAAAAAGTCATTTCTCAACCTTCCTCAACCAGCAAAATCATTCAAAATCTTGTGGTCGACTTTGAATAATCAGGCTGTGGTTATAAAGAAGTCAAACTTTCTGGTATCTTGTCTCTAGGCGTTCTCCATACTGACTTCAACGACATGAACATCGTCCGTCAGCAAGATGGACCTGCCCCCAGCGAGACCCAGTGGCACACGGCCGGCGGCCTGGACATACCGGCCAATCAGGACTCTTGGCTGGGTGACCTCGGGGTCATTGACTTCTCGGACATTGTCTATTCCAACTTGCTGTTTGACGCCGGCAACTCCCTGGCATACATGATGATGAGCCAGCCCCACGGGGATCCTCTGGTTTCTGGTGCTCACTTTTTGGCAGGTATGAGCACAATTGTGATCATATTTTTCTCTTTCATTTTCATTACATTTTTTACGTGAATTTTAGTGACAATATTTATTCACTGGTGAGTGTCCGCATGGACTTGTTATTCACTTACGAGGACTTCACTTGACAGTTTCATGTACTCCCTCTGAAATGTGAAGGGAAAATTGAATGCAGGTTTCCAGATCTTATACACCTTTGCTCTTTCTGGCACATGTGTGTATCTCGTATTTTAAAACTCTGTATGAAAATGTTTTTGTGAGACTGAATTATGTGTGAATGTAATGAAACAGTACACCAAGCAATGGGCTCGGTGCATGAACAGTAGATAGCACTTCATTACCATCAGGAGAGCCCCAGTTTGAGGACACAAAGTGTGTACGGGTGCTGGCTAAAGCACCTTTGGCATAGATGTGTATGAGTATTCTGAATGTGCACAAACATGTGGCCTCTTTGCATGAGTGTCAGGTGCCATCAGCAAAACATTTAAAGGTACAGTCTATCATTTGTAATTCGTGTATTTTGTTCATTTGAAGCAACAAAAGTGCTCAAAACTAAAGAAGGGTGCTGAACAACTAACCTGATGAAGTTTCAGCTCAGCTTCAGCTGTATATTTCGAGAAAAACAACATTCTAGGATCTCAATTTCAAATCAAAAGTTGCTGAATCATGTTTTGAATTGGGCCTGAATTCAGCATCCGAGACATGTTCGCACTGAGCCGATTGCAGCTACGAGATGTTGCGCACTGATCCGACGAATTACAGCAACCGCGCGCGCATGTGCGTCGTGTCAACGCTTGCGCGCGCTTTGCCGAATAAAAAAAATGAACTACTAACAGAAATTTCTAACAACATCTTTAGACGCATCGTTGGAAAGGCCTTCTTTCATTGATTTCTTCAAAATGACAGCATGCCAGAAAGAATTATTTCACAGGGAGTTTAGTTCCCTTACTATCTTTCAACCAAGTATGTTTTTCTACAATAATTACGTCAGTTTCTTTTTGGATAGCTGCAAATGATGGACTCTATCTTAAAGAGTCCCTCCAAGTGGTCCCTCCAAACTTTGTAACCGTTGAGAGGCTAATCATGCAAGGAGTCTGTAGTGTGTCATGAAAATATAATCAACATTTCAATTTTGTCAGGCTACAACTCGGTGCTCCCCCTGACGTCCACCGAGATGAGCCTACTCCGATGCTGCAGCGCGGCCCGCCTGGTACAGAGCCTGGTCAATGGTCTGCATGCCTACTCCCAGCATCCAGACAACGGGTACGTGCTAGACACGCAGAGGACAGGCTGGAACGTGCTGGAACGACTCTGGAGCAAACCCAACCAGGAGCTGCTGAGCATGTGGGAGAGCATTGCGGAGCTTTACCGTAAATAGTTACAGTCTGTACAACATTACATAGGTGAACAGTCTACTTTTCCATTCAGGAAAATATAAGCGCAACTCTACCATGTCTATGGTAAATTTAAAATGAAAGGTAATAGACAGTTACATATAAAACAAACCCAGGATTGTTTATTCCAATCTGTCGCCACAGACACTCAGTTTCAAAAAAATTAATTGTCGTCATTTCACTAATTGTGAGCACAAATTTTACTGATGAACACCAGTGGACATATTTCGTCGCGTCAGTGCAACAATTCCATTCTGCAACAAAGCCGTATCTGGCGCGAATACGCTCCATGCAACAAGGTCGTATCTCTACGTCCATTGACCTTGTGTGTACATCCGGGTTGTTTTAAGTGAGATACGACATTTTGACGACCATCTGAAACTCGCGTTTCACGTAGGGCCCATTTTAGGAGATACGACCTTGTTACATGGACGTGACAATTTGTGACTTTTTTTAGAGGAGTACAGTATAGTTTCTCTGTCCATAAGCCAATACAAGAAAACAATCCTTAACTGCTGTCAATTGTGAAAGTGAAAGAACTTTTCAGGAAAATCTGAGCAAAGGGTCACTTATCTATTTCAAATATCACCATTTTTTTTTAATTTGAAACTTGTTTCTTTTAATCAATTTTAATCATACTTTTTGGTTTTCCATTTATTGTTGCAGTTGGACCTCCACTGTAACGACCTTGACAATAATAAAGACATAAATATAATTATAATTGAAAATATAGACATACAAATCATAGTTGTTTCAAAAATACTTTATAGATAAGATAAAAGAACATATTCTGAAAGTAAGTGTAAGGAGAAATAGGATTTTTGTAAAAAATTAAGCTAGATTTTAAAAGATAGACAAAAATGCTTGTATCCCTTGAATTATCAGAGTGATTCCTGATGTTTAAGGAATTTTGATAAAATGAAAAACTTACACCAAATCGGGGAATCCCAGCAAATTCTACAACATGAATGAAAACAACCAACATAATTTATTTCATCTCAGGTACAATGTAACTCAGGAATTTTGTATTAAATGTAAAGTAGAGAAACAAGTTGTCAGTGTAGCAAAAACATGAGCTTGCCATTGCGTTGTTTCTGTTGTAGTCTATACTGCCTACATGCCAAATATAAGCCCCAACGCTATCCCTTACCCCTACCCTCCCTTGCCCACCCTGGGAATTTAGTTACTTGAGAATGGGATGCATCATAAACCGTGCTTGATAAATGGCATTATCCTGCTTATGTAAACCCTTGCTAACGCTATACTCTCAAGTTCATGGCCTATTAACCCATTAGCACCTGGGCCCAATTTCACGGCGCTGCTAAGCACACGATTTTCTGCTAACAGAGCCTCGGTCTATTTCATGGTGACCGTAAGCATAAGCACAGCAAAAGGCATGCTTATTTCAGAGGAAAAATTTGCTTAAATTAGTGACGTAACATAGAAATCTCCATGCACGCGCGACCGTTAGCACGTCCACGCCGTGAAATAGTGCTTAAGGTTAGCAAATTTTTCTGCTATGCTAAACACAACTTTTCTGCTAACTGTTAAGCAGCGTCGTGAAATTGGGCCCTGTACTACCATTGCATCACATTGTGTTTTTTTTTCACTGAAGAATCAACAAAACCATAGATTCAAGGAGAGGGGGGGGGGGGGGGGTTTGGGCACTACAGTGAGTAATGGGCCATGCGGTTTTGGCGCTACGGTGACTTAAACGTTAACATGCTCTCAATAGATCTCGGGTTCAGCAGAGTACAATAACAGCGGCTGTTTCTCCTATCAACTATAACATGGCATAGATTCATCCATTCATTCATTCATCACATTTATTCCCTTCACCATTATGCGTAGGTCCATCCATGGAAAATCCACCTTCATCAAGCCATTCCAAAGAAGACACCGATTCGTCATCAAATTCCTGCTCCATCGCAAAGATCACGCCCACCCTCTCGTCAAAAGACGTGAAGAGGCTTCTCCAGAAATTGTACTCGGTCCAGACGCAGGACGTCAGGAACATCCGAGAGTTCATTGCCTATGACGATCAAAACTTCTACGTCCTGCTTGGGGGCGGGGACTCTGCGACGAGGGTGGGCGGCCAGGAGTTTGTGCTGAAGGTGATCAACTCAGAAGATTCGGCAGACAGGGTGGCCTTTGACATGCAGGTTGCCGTCTTGCGATTTCTGACAGATAAGGGATTCTGCTGCGCCACACCAGTAGCAAATGTACAGGGTGGTTTCCTGAGCTTGGAAAAGATGTATATGAACAGCCGAGGAGGAGACTGTGGTGAGAAAGTTACAAAATAGATTGAAAGGAAGGAATTAATGTACTCAAAAATAATATATGCCACCCAACCATATCAGATCATGCAAATTCCTTTAGGATGTTAGACGGAGGATTTAGGAAGATAGAGCTCAGCTGCTATTACTTTAATTGCAGTATATACTGCACTGTATTCTTAAAACAGGAATAAAACATGTTTTATTCCTACTTTCTAGAACATGGATCCTGTTTTCAAAAAACAGGAACCTGTTTGAAAACCGTTTCCTGTAGCCTGTTCTTAGCCTGTTTAAATCATGATGTTTTTTTCCTGTTTTTAGCTGTTCCAATACAATCGTTTCAAACATGTTTTTAAAAAAACATGTTTGCAACAGGATACAAACATGTTTTATTCCTGTTTAATTTGGATGAGGGATACACAGAAGGTTCCATTAGGTTACTACATTACTTGATTTCGGAGAAAATTACAAATGACTAAAAGATTAATAAAAATGTACTCCTCTGCAGATGACCTGTTTTTAGCTGTTCCAATACAATCGTTTCAAACATGTTTTTAAAAAAACATGTTTGCAACAGGATACAAACATGTTTTATTCCTGTTTAATTTGGATGAGGGATACACAGAAGGTTCCATTAGGTTCCTACATTACTTGATTTCGGAGAAAATTACAAATGACTAAAAGATTAATAAAAATGTACTCCTCTGCAGATGACCAAAAGCGATGCGGGTATTTCTTGGTGTTTCTACTGACATTCATCTCCGGTCAGACCATAAGTAAGGTCAGTCCCGTTCCTGAGCAACTGTGCTATGATGTTGGAGTGAAGATGGCACAAATGGATCGATTATTGTGGGTAAGGTATTGAATTCCAAAAAACAGTTGTCAGCTTGGGTAAAATTCTTAAAGTGACCATCCTTTTGAAGTACTAATCTTAGCCTGTTTTTTTTAATGTTGCATTGTCATATCTTTTGGGGGAAGGGGGGATTGGTAAGGGGGAAGAGAAAGGCATGGCATGGGGTAGCTCAAGTTTCCTGATTCGTTTTCTTCACCCAGTATTTCTGAAAGACATTCTTACCTAATGCTAGATACCCCTGTTTTCGATACTTTTTATACTTTTTGCAGTTCATGTAGTTGGAGCCAGAAATGATTGTATGGCTGCTAGCCGCTGGAAGCCACATCCTCCCTCCCCAAAAATGAATAGTGTTGGTTTTTTATTTTTATTTTTGAGAATGCCCTTTCACTTAAAGGGAAGATACAACATTTGCAAACATCAAGAAACGAAATGATCAAATTATAACAAAATATCTTACTGGACTGTTAGTGAATGACAATCTAAAGCAAACTGTAAAATGGTGGCTCCTTGTGTGCTGACATTTTCAAGAACACTTATATTTTTCCAATGCTGGTCGGCCGAGCATCATAGGAGAAAATTAGCTTTTTTTTTTAAAACTGCTCCTAATTTTTCATCTTTAGTCATTCTGCATTAACTTTGCAATTGATTGCACATCTGTGAAGGGGAACAGGCCTGCTAGACTGATTCTCTTACCTTACAATCCCCAATGTCTATAAATTGCAACGTCTCATCTTAAGTGGGGTCAGAGAACCAGACTGCAAGAATATGGTTGGTTTTCTTGGATTTTCCAGCATCTCCGAACTCAAAACGTGAAACAAGCTAGTTTAACAATATTTTCTATAGCACACTAATCCTCCAAATTCATTTATTTTTGAAAACTGCAGCAAAAGCAAATGTTGAATTTTCCCTTTAAAGGTAATGTACAACATTTGCTTTTGCTTCAACGATGGTCGGCCGGCCATAGTTGATACAAACATTCCACTTTTCTTGAAAATGACAGCACACCAGGTGCCATGATTTCACAGGATGCCTGGGACTATAATTCACTTTACAGTCAAGTAAGGTATTTCATAAAAATGTGGTTGGGTTGTTTTTTGATGTTTACACATGTATCTTACCTTTAAACCAGGGTGACCGTTTTAGCCGATTTTCGGCTAACTTTGACAGAATTTTTGTTAAAAAACGGGTTTGACAGAAAATTTGACAGAATGGATTTTTTTGGCAGATTTCTGGCAGAATTCTGCAAAAATGGTTATTTGACACAAAAACAGCAAATTTGAACATAAAAGTTTCAATCCTTTCAAACAAACCCTTGCATAATGGGACAGGTTGGCTGGTCTAGGTGCTGAGGTTCACTGGGAAACGGACTTCGTCGTAGCCGGATCCGCATATTGCCCGAAATTTACCAATAATTTCACAACATCTTTATGTGACTAAATTGTTTATTATGTAATTTGAATCTTAATTAAGGCAATACTACCAATCTGCATGTGATTTTAAGTGTTTATAGTGTATTTTGAGTAATTCTGAGGAATTCGGCAAATTTTTGATAAATCTGACAGATTTTTGATGTGCATTTAGCAGAATTTGGCCCTGACCTTATGGTCACCCTGCTTTAAACTTGCACTGTAGTTCACAATTGTTGTTATTTCCCTGCTGCACATCATAAGACGAAGCCCCACCATGGACTCAGTGTTTGTATTTTTAACTTGTAATGAATTAAATGTGACTCCAAACCATTTTTTTGGGGGGGCAGGATTTTCAAGACATCCCTGACAGTTTCAAAGACAGAGCGTCATCTTTCATCTGGGCCATGGAAAGCCTCCCAAGGGTACGCAATCATTTGGACGAGGTTAAGGATGCGAGGAGGCGAGAGCTTGCTGAAAGTGTCTTCAAGACCTTTGAGGAGGAGGTTTCCCCTGAAATAAGCACACTGAGAAAGTGTGAGTGCATACTTTTATTCCAGAATTCTTCACCATTTTCACGAAGAGCCACATATGTCAAGAAAGTCCATTTTTCCAATTTTGATTTTTTTTTATATTTTGCTTTAAAACAGTGTACTTAACCATTTTGACATGTTTCTATAAGCAAAGCATCATTAATTTCCGAGTTACATTAATGTTGCAAGGGGCAGAAATCTTGATGAATGCATTTTGCGTTTTCATGAAGAACCACATACATTTCGGCCCCTTGAATGCGTACAAGACCCATTGCACGGAAATACGTAAAAGTAGGTCAAGTGAGATTTCCGTTTTCACGAAGAGCCACATATCTTTGTTACATTTTCAGCTGCGCGCATACTCATGCACACCTATGGAAATACACGTTGAACAGAAAGGGCCAATATGTCGGAAACCTGAATTTGCGTTTTCACATAGAGCCACATATCTTTACTAATTAATTTTCACCAATTAACTAATGTATTAAGTCTTATAACTGGGTTCATACAAAAATTCAGCTCTCGTAGAATCGTTTGATGGTTTCCTTGCTGCACAAAGTTGTTGCAAAGTGGTATTTTTTGCAGTTTTAAAATATGAGAAACTTCTTTTGCGATTATCTCGAAAATGCTTTTTCTTCAAAATCCACATATGTGGCTCTTCGTGAAAACGGTGACGAATTGTGGTCAAAGTCCACAAGACCGGTTACAAGTAAATCACAAGTGAGTTCGCAAGTCCAGTCATAAGTAAAGTGAAAATGCAAAGTTACAGAAGAATGCCTTTGTCACGCTTCATTTGAATAGCTCGAGGATCAACCTGGGACTGGGTGAGGTGTGATGGCCTTGTGTGAATTTTTTTATCCACCAGAAGTACCTTGACTACAATACTATAATTTTAGCAATGAAATCCTCACCTGGGTCCATGTTCAGGGTGCTTACTCTAAGCACTCACTTTTTTTGCTAACAGATCGTCTATTTCAGTAAGGCTGTTGGCATTAAGCGCAGCAAATGGGCATGCACATTTCGGAGGTAAAATTCCCTTAAAAACGTAACAAAACAACAGAAATATACAATTTTTAGAAAATATATACTGTGAAATGGTATTCCACAGTCAAGGATAAACAAAGTTTTACATTTCTTATTTTAATATCCAGGTATTATTCACAGCGACTACAATGATGACAACATCCTAGTTACAAAAACAAGTTCGGACCTTAGGTCTCCTGAAAGCAAAACAAACAATGGTGACCCATCACCGCCGACCAAAAGGACAAAAAGTGAACCCATGTATGGCATCACAGGGGTCATCGACTTTAGCGACATTGTCTACAGCTGTCTTGTCTTTGAGATCGCCCAAGCCATGGGCCTGATGTTATACTGGAAGGCATCTGATCCCACTGCTGCCACCGCTCAACTCCTGGCTGGCTTCCAGTCTGTGATACCCCTCACTCCCGAGGAGCTGAAAGTACTGTACACCTGCATGGTGGCACACGTGGCCAAGGAGTTAGTGCTTGGCCTTTACAACCATCGCCTGCAGCCGGAGAACCCCCACATAACCACATCCCAAGCCAAGGGGTGGAGGTATCTGGAGGAGCTGTGGGGAGACCCTAATGGTAGAGCCAGGGTCGAGAAGCTGTGGAAAGACACTGCTGCTGTGTACAAAAAGGAACCAGCTTGACATGTAAATAAGCCTCTGTACTAATGACGTCACACTTTGTTTACGTGTGTGCTTTCCTAGGGTGCTCAGTGGACCGTGGGCCCCCAATGGCTCCATAGGAAAGTGCACATGTGACATTATTAGTACAGAGGCTTATATTCCATGCTCAAAAATCTCCTTGATGGCGACAAAAAGAGACAGATAATAACCATTGCTGCTGAAGTGTCTTCCTGCCTGAGTGCTTTCCTGCAAAGAAACAACAGGGTGGTGCCAATTCAGATGAAAGCTATGCATATTACCCATGCAAGAACCAGTACGCACATGCACAGTGTCCCACACACTTGGACTACTATTCCTGTATTAGAGTCAGTTTGAAAGTACAATGTGTACAAGTCAATACAGCACAACTTATTAACAGCCTTATCTGTGGAATACTGTGGAAAACTCAGGACAACATTCCAGTTCAAAGATTACTTTTGGTTACAGTACCTCCTGATTTTAACAAAATATTTAAGTATCAATAAATATTTTTAGCTTCCTGTTATGGTCTCCCGCTTTGACAGTCCACTGAACTTAGCACTCTGTTCCAGAATCTCCCGCCTTAACGGTCCACTGACTCAGCATCCACTACTTAAAGATATAGTCCATCATTTGTAATTTGTGCATTTTGTTCATTTGAAGCAACAAAAGTGCTCAAAATCTAAAGAAGGGTACCGAACAACTAACCTGATGAAGTTTCAGCTCAGCTTCAGCTGTATATTCCGAGACTTGAAAAATAGCATTCTAGGATCTCGATTTCAAATCAAAGGTTGCTGAATCATGTTTTGAATTGGGCCTGAATTCAGCATTCGAGACACGTTCTCACTGAGCCGATTGCAGCTACGCGATGTCGCGCACTGATCCGACGAATTATAGCAACTGCGTGCGCTTGTGCGTCGTGCCAATGCTTGCGCGCTTCGCTGCAAAACAAAACAAACTACTAATTTAAATTTCCTATGGTGCGTCCTAAGAAGCACCGTTGGAAAGGCCTTCTATCGTTGATTTCTTTAAAATGACAGCCTGCCAGAAAGACTAATTTCACAGGGAGTTTAGTCCCCTTACTATCTTTCAACCAAGTATGTTTTTCAACAATTATTACACCAGTTACTTTTTAGATAGCTGCAAATGATGGACTATAGCTTTAAACACTTGCACCAGCAAGAGTCTCCTGGCAGTCTCCTGATGATGAGCAGAGCATACTGTTCTAAACGTTGAGTTAAACCAACTGGTTCTTCTCAGAACCACACAACTCACAAAGAGATATCATTCACATGGTGTTACTGCAAACCTCCAATTCATTTATCATGTCCACCATGTAAACCACAAGTTGCATATAAATATTTATGTATAAATATTTTTGTAAAAACTCATGGCTTTCATTTCATTTCATTTGTTATTTCTCAGGTTAGAGCACATAGAGACACAATATACAACGCAAACATTTTGGGTAGCAGGCCAGGGTAACAAAGACTAAATAAATAAATTTAAAAATAAAATATTGATAACACCCCTGAAGGATTGCCTAAAGCGAACTAAATCATTATCTGGTTTCTTCTTTGCCATACATTACTTTTGGTCATAGTGAATACATATGCTTTAAAAAAAAAAATCATGCATAAATATTTATGTTTGCTTATCTGTGGAATAATGCAATGTTGGCACACTTGGGTTTACACGCCAATTCATACATATACTTTTGGTCATGGTGAAGATCTGATATTAACAAAATATTTGTGAGTAAATATTCATGTTGCAGAGAGAACCTCTGAAACCAAAAGGTTCGCCCTTATTTTTTGATATGTGGGTTAAGAAAATTGTTAATTAGGAAATATCGAGTTGGAATTTTGAGAATTAAAGCCAGAGTCCATCATTTGCAGCTATCCAAAAAGTAACTGGCGTAATTATTGTTGAAAAACATACTTGGTTGAAAGATAGTAAGGGAAAGACTGCCTGTGAAATTATTCTTTCTGGCAAGCTGTCATTTTGAAGCAATCAACGAAATAAGGCCTTTCCAACGGTGCTTCTTAACGGTGCTTTCCAACGGTGCTTCTTTTTGCAAAAACACAACGTTACTCTTTTGCTAATTTGACTAATTCAGCCTTTATTGCGAGTTTCTGCAAGGAACACAAAGTCTTTTACTTATCGATATGTACAATACTACACGGTACACACACTTGAAGGTGGGGTTAGCATATTTATATATATTTCATAATATGAATTTTATAACATAAACAGCATGTCTTGATGCTTAAAGAAAACCTGAGATGTTTGAAAATGATATTCATATTCTTTATGACAACGAAATAGTGACAGGTATATTTACTTGTAAATTGAGACCCGAGTTTATTTCCAACTGTACTGACCTTGACCTTTGACCTTTTTGTCACAAAATGCCCATAAACCAAACCATCAACTATGTTTCATATTCAAACCATCCAAATGCCATCTTCACAACTTTCCAACCCTTCATCTATCTGCCTTACATGTTAGATTCTAGCAACGTAATACATGTACATGTATATTTCCAAGTTCCATTCGCGACATGTCAATAAATAAGTTATTTACAGAACAAGTTGATTTAAATACAATAGCAGAGGAAAGGTGTATACTGCTCTAATTACAGACCAACAGTAAAAGTCCATATTAATAAAGAGTTGTATGCTCAAGGGCTCTGACTTGAGTCGAGAACAAAAGCCTCAAATTTGATCCGTCGCACATGGACTTTAGTGACTTTATTCGATGCCATTTTCACTATTCCAACCACTACTATTTTGTGAGCACCATATTGGCTCGGATTGGATTTTAATCGTTGGGATTTGAAAACATGACCAGCTGCTTTCTAGAGCGTACATCGTACCATAAGACTACAACTGTTGCAACACGACAGATTAAAAATTTGAAAACACTTATTCTCTAAATTGAATATGATCGGCACATAATATTCCTCCAGTGCCGACAGTCTCCATTGATAATTTGGCAAAACGTGTACTGCCAGTTACATTTTTAAAAGGACTAACTACATTGGAATTGCAAATTGGAAAATGCTTACCCTGATGGAAAATATTGAATACAGAGATAAAATTGTGTACATTTTTTTTCGTCCAATATTATTGGAGTAACTAGATCTGGGGATCTATACTATTGCTGCGACACTGTAATTGACAAATACTTGAATAGGGCTCTCCACTGACCCACGTGACCTAGCCTACATCCGGGTACCGGAAAGTCAGCGTCGCCATTGTAGTAGGCAAAGATCGTATAGCGTTGCGAACAGGAGGCAGTAGGCAAGCCATTAAAGCTGTGATGGATGGTAAAAACTGTGAAAAATGTGGAGCAACGCCCAGTGCTTGGTCGGCACGATTATGACAACCGTACACGGCACAGGTAGTGAGAATTATGCCAATAGGTACTAAGAATCCACGGTTATTTTACGTGAAAATAAGCCCTACTGTCGAACCAAATGCCTACTGCAAATGTTGACCGTTCACAGGTAAACCGGATGCTCACGTGGTACTTTGACGTCATACGAATCGGAACCTATACCAGTTTTGTTTATGAAGACTGTAATTTGGACCTTTCCTGGGCCCACAGGTTTCTTAGTCGGTCTTTTGTCTCGTCGTCGGCAAATATGCACGCTATACTGCCGAAGGAAAGCTCCCACATCTGTTCCCGGGTCAGGTTGAAGGTGGATGCTGCAATCTGGTACTCCTGGGACAGGCTTGTGGCAAATATGCCTTTGTCATCAGTCTGTCAATACATAAGATAGTATGCAATTTATTTGTCAATTGGGGTCTGTCATGAGTGACCTAAGGGCACATATCTGCCACTTCATGGATGCTGCAGTTCATCCATTTACATTTGAGAATGCTTATCGTGGCCCAATTTTATAGCTCTGCTTTTCTGTTAGTGAAAAGAGGAACTAAATATATAGCAAAATGTGTTGAGCTCACGGTAAGCGTGTTTCACATGTTTCGCCCCCCGCACTGTACCCCCCGCACTGCAGACAGGATGCTGGGAAGGGCTGATGAATTTAAGCTCTGATTATTTTGCGTGACGTGACCTACGGAATCATCACGGCCACGACCCTGCACGGTTTTAAACGGCCATTAAGACCGAGTCACTACTCTTTTACTTCCATTCATAAATGCTTATTTGTCCTTGAAAAGCTTAACAATGTAGGAAAATCTGTAAAACTTATCCATTTCAAATGCACGAAGGGTTAAAATTGCACAGTATGCCACGCTCAGATTTGTCCACACGGTCCGTAATGAAAAAGAAATCACATCCGGTATGGAATTGCATTTCTATGAGAACGTTTTCGGATAGCATTTGTGCGCATTGGCTAACTGCGGTCTTAAACAGCTGCAGCCAGATGCTATTATACATAGGTCATGATAAATTACCCAGAATGCCATCCCCACTTCCTTCCCAAGATTCTGTGAAGCTCATCAGCCCTTCCCAGTGCCCTGTTTGCAGGGCAGGGGGTACGAGCGAATTCACATGTAAGCAAGGAATTTAGGCCTATGTGCATTCACACTTACTTGGCAATACAATTCAAATCAATTTAGATCGGTCGATTAAATTAATCTCCCGCAGCAAATGGCTGAATCTTTTTACAATAAAGACAAGAACTCTTATTATTTAACAAGTACCCCGCTAAAATTGAGACTTAGCAAAGCTACAGAACACCACCATCAAACCCAATTTAAACAATGTGAATATGCTCTTCAGAGTACATAGAGATACTTACACATATGACACACGGGTGGCCTCGCTCGTACCAGTACTTGAAGTGATGAATGTCAAAGGATTTCACTGTTTGGCCAACCAAATTGGACGTCAGACAAAGCTCTGTCATATAAAAAAAGGGGGGGGGGGAAAGCAAATTAAAAGAAGAAAATAAGTAATTAGAAAAATAATAAAATAATAAAGCTCCTCTATATTTTCCCTCTATATTTGTTTAATCCTTAACTGTCATAGCTACAACTAATTGGTATATTATTGTCTTTATATTTATTGGAAGACACCTATTTAATGCTTGATATTTCTCCCTTAAATCCCTGCTTTCAATGGAAATGCAGTAGTTATATCATTTAGTAAGTGTGAGAGCAAAATATCAGGTAGTGGGTTCCAAGGAAAACAATTACATAATTGAACAGGCCAGCACTGATGTATATTCAACTCATACTGTGTTTGGTGGGGATCTGAACTTGGCTAACCAGCGGTGAACAATGAGGAAAGAACCACTATGTCTAACCCTGTTAATCTACTGGAATAGATAGGATCTTGTGTCGTTACCTATTGGCGTTCGGAGTTTGCCGACCGTTTCCACGAGCTCTTCTGATCCGCCGACCTCCGGCTGAAGGAAAGTACCGTGGCCGATTCTATCGGGTGGCAGCTGAACTAACGACAAGTTTTCAGCTACATTCGGAATCTATACAAAGGAAAAAACAATCAATTAAACAAACAAAAACTTGCATTATTCTGCTTAGTACTTGATAATCAAATAACCTTTGTCGTGATTGGGTCACAGTTCAAGTGAATAGCAAATAATTTTCCACAGCTGTGGAATCTTTGGTGTCACAAAGGTTAATGTAGGTTTCTTGTCACTGAAAAAAAAGTCATTAATTCCTGCCCCGTGTCTTGGGTTCAAATGGAAAACAAAATCTACCTTTCATCCAGGGCTCAAATAAAAAAAAACCAGACTATTATCGGGTTTTCCCCCTCACTTTTAGACTCTTGTACTCCAAGTTTACTTATTTATTGTTTTGATCTTATAGTGAACTCCAGGCTCATCTTCATTTTAAGACAAATTAAAGTCTGTGATTTTGTACCAATCTCCACCTCATTCCACATAGATTGCAACTCACCTCTGCTACGTGTATTGCTAGTTTAAGACCGCTCTTCCTTGCCTCCTGCAACACAGGTATGTACTGCCTTGCATCATTCTTCTATTTAAAAAAAAAATGCACAAGGAAGAGAGTTGAGACAATCTTTGTTCATGCTGACAACATGCCCCCAACATGCCCCCTTAGCAACGTATGTGTAAGTATGTACCTTATGGATATAGAATATTCTGAAAAAGAAGCAGGTTTGGCTAGAAGCTTGGGTCTATAAGCCAAACCTCATGGAAACTTGCAAGGATATGCTTACACTTCTTTAGAAAAGAAGATTCAAATGAGTTTTTATTGTGTAAATTGCAATACGGATCTCTGTTCGAAAGCTTATTATGGCTGGGTCTTTTATTATTATTATTATTAATCATTTCTGGTAATGAAACCAAGGATTCCTCAAAAGCGCCCTAGGCACTGTAGCTCGCAAGCCTGAAGAAACCTTTGGAGAGAACACAATGAGAAGAAGTTACAGTTTTAGAGGCGGGAGGAAAAGCCCAGAAGAATATTCTGAGGAAAACCCACGGAATCAGGTAGGGACTGAAAACCCAATCCACATATTGGCCCAGGCAGGATTCGAACCCGGGTCACAGCGGTGGAAGGCGAGGAAAGTACCGCTACGCCAACCTGACTCCCCTTGTACGTGTACTTGTGTCATATGAGTTGCATGAGTTGTATGATTAGCACTGTATAAGACACTGATTGGCTCCCTCATGACAACCATGTATAAAGCAAACCCTGTGTGTATGCACTGGTTCCTGCATGTAAATGGAATTTTGCAACGAAAATCAATTTTTACTAAAACTTCACTAACTTGTAGCTTGTACACATGTAAGGATTGTACTTCACCATCGGTGGCATATGTATGGAATCCTTATCCATAAAAATAAAAGCTCAAACTCTCATGCGTAACATTTGGAGCATTCTATTGCAATATGTACATTAGGATCACCGCTGAAGTCGATGCCGACTACAACTCCATCGCTAGTGGCCTGGTACTCTCTGGCAAGCTGGACGGTCTCATGGGCAGTCTGCAGGTCGCGACCCCGGTCAATCGTCAACAGAAATCTGGGAATGAAGGAACGAGGGGAAAATACAAGATAATGAGGGTGCTTCTTTCACAAATGGGCTTCTTAAGTGGGCTCTGACAGTTTGCATAATCATAATCCCCACTAATGGAAAAGTTTTCTACGCGTAGCAAATTTTCAAAATTTTGATGAAAAAGCCCACTGAATTGGCCCTGGCTGGTGCTTATAATGCACTCACCTGACTGTGATGTCTGAGCCTTCCTCTTTGCACTGCTTTATTGAAGACAATACTGCTTCGATGTAACTCCTCTTTGTCATTCCTATGTATTAAAAAAAAAAAATAAAAATGATTTGCTATACAGGATATTACCATATTCTTGGCTTCACCAATCTGTGATGGAGTTCAGTAATGGACAAAACAGTGTGGGGGGAGAGCAGCATTGAAGTAAAGATACTTCTTATGGATCAAAAGTCCTCATAAGTTCATCGCAAGTGACTCACAAGTCAGCGAATCCCAAGTCGATTCAAAGTCGATTCAAATGAACAGAGAGAAAGACAATCCTTTGTTTTTGTTCATTCCCTGTTACTTGTGAGTGAACTTCTTAACTGACTTGCGATTTACTGGAGACTGCATTGGCTTGTGATGTACTTGTGATCCATCACAAGTACTTGTGACCAGACTTGCGATGTACTTGTGATCCATCACAAGTACTTGTGACCAGTCTTGTGATGTACTTGTGATCCATCACAAGTGCTTGTGACCAGACTTGTGATGTACTTGTGATCCTTCACAAGTGCTTGTGACCAGACTTGCGATGTACTTGTGATCCATCACAAGTGCTTGTGACCAGTCTTGTGATGTACTTGTGATCCATCACAAGTGCTTGTGACCAGTCTTGTGATGTACTTGTGATCCATCACAAGTACTTGTGACCAGACTTGCGATGTACTTGTGATCCATCACAAGATTTTGTAACCAGACCTTTGATGATCCATCACAAGTACTTGCGATGTACTTGCGATTTGTCATAAGTAATTGTGACCAGACTTGTGATGTACTTGTGATCTATCACTAGTGCCTTGACTACAACACTTTCTATCTCTGTCACTTACCAGTTTCTGGCACATCTCGTGGTGTGCTCCGCAACTCAAGAAACTTGACGCCGTCCTCAGCAAACTCCCGGATGACGTTGCGGGTTACTATGGCAACTGCTTCACTATTGTCAACCAGCTGGTGGATCAACTTGAACATGTCAAAGCAACTGCAGGGAAAGAGAGAAAATGGAACCTAAAATGCCAAGTATTTTTTAGAATGCTCCGAGAAAGTGACACGGAAGCTTGAACAATATGTAAGCCTGAAGAATTGCATCAGCAATGCTCAGATTTAGGACAAAACATCAAAACAAAGCAGGGGCTGAAAAAAAAATCAACTTATGTCAGAGGGAGCAGGCTCTCGAAGAATAAGTAGACTAGCCCAGATTCTCACCGTGGTGTGTTCACACACTGACAGTGCACCGAAAACAGTGCCATTCTCTGACTTAAGGCCAAGTTAACAATATTTTCTCGTCTGGTCTTTTTGAGAAAAAAAAAGGAGGTGGCCCTTTTTTTTTCAAGATGGCCAATTTTCCAAGATGGATTCTTCCATATTCTTGACTCTTTTGCTGATACTTTTATGTCTAAAGGAGCCCTTTCTGCCAAATTTGAACTTGCATACAAAGCCAAAATTTTGCTGGAACACATAAAAAAAAACTACATATCTAAATATATTGCAAATGTATGATTACAAAAAAAAAAAAAAAAAAAAAAAATAAGGAAAGCAGGCGTGAAGAAAGGAAGCGGGTGGGACGAGAAACTGGTTTATTTGTTTAATTGGCCTAATATTCAAGTTGTTGGCAGTGACAAACACTAGCTAGTCATACAAAAAACACAAGAAAATACATTTTAATATTTTTTTCTCGGTACCCATCCAGTGTCATTTGTTCTCCATTCTCCACTTTAGCTTTCCATTGCCGTAGTGCTTCAATGTCTGGCTGCGGCCTCCCTTTCTCCTGATTCTTTGCCAGTAGTTCCTCAATGGATTCCGTACTTATGGAACCATTGATGTGTGCATGCAACTCCTGAGCAAATCAAAATAACATTATTAAAATGAAAATCAGAATTCTAGCAGCAGTTTGTCATTTGGGGTAGAATTTTTTTTGTTCACCTTTGTAATCTTGATGATGGTCTGCAAATATGTTTTAAAACATGAATTTGGGACAAGAGACATTTTAATCTCCTGAATTTATTAGAAAATTCTGACTTTCACAACCACCAAAGAGGCGTCAGGAAATTGTTTTTTTTAATTTATCACTATTTTTTCAGGATCTGCAGAGATCCACACTTTCTGCACGAGGCCCTACTGGTTGTACATGCAGTATAATCCTGTCAAATACTCAAGTTAATACTAATAAACATTTTCAATATTCCCGGATGCATGTTGGTATGGATGCCAAACCATGGAGCTATAGCTCCATGGACAAACAAACCAGGTAGTTGTTAGGCTGTGAACCATTTAAAACTTTCATTTGATCCCTCCTGTAATATCTAAAGAATTTAGTGATCATCTTTTCGCACATTATTAATTTAAAAATCATAAATTAAAGCTTATCATCTTGAAGACAGTTTTGAGGAATCCCTTTTAAGATAGGCCTACCGTACCACTGTTATCAGTTTCAAAACTTTCATTTAAAACTCATGAATATGCATATTATTATGACCCTCCCAATACTGACCAATCCGAATCAAGATTTTAAGCTTCTCCCTTCAATACTGACCAATCACAATGGTTCCTCTGGGCCAGCTGATGTCTGGTAGTGCAGTGGTATATATTTCTTATACTCTATGCATTAATAGTACATAAGTGAAGTGAGGCCCCCATAGGTTTGTGCTTAAACTGCATTGCTTGTCACGTACCATACTGCATGCTACCACGTCCACTTAATCATGGAGGTAAGCCTAAGGCTAAGGAGTAAGGTGTCTTTTCCTTCCTCCGTGGTCTAGCTTAATATGATACCGCAATCCCCTCCATACTTACGATTTTAGGTAGACGCTTGTAAAACGCCTCAACTTCCATTTTTGTAAATACCAAATCAAGTATTATTTTAACTATTAATACTTCAATATGATTATTTCATTGGCCCAACCCACTTTATTACATTGCCAAGGTTGACATGGGCGCTGCCATATTGTAAATCACCAACTTTTACCACTAGAGGGCAGCATTCAATGGGACCGTTATTTAATCTCTTGGGTGTACCTAGTACCCCAGTATAAAAATTCCCATAGCCACCAGTGTTAAATCCCCGTTGCTTCAACATTCTTTTAAAAATACCCATAACTCTCACAGGTATTCAGGCTGCACAGACAAATAATTATGAACATGTCATCTTTCATTTTCTTTTCAATTTTTGGTGGGTTGACCATTGACTTTTTGGAGAAATTATCACCCAAAGAAGACCACCCCTTAAACCAATGATACTTCCAAAACTGGAAAGGTAGCCATTTTGAAAAAGGATCCCTCCACAACATGGCTAAAGAGCCCCACTTTCGGACCCAATTGTATCCAAAATGCTCAGAATTGGAAGCCCCAAGTCCAGACCAGATATACAGTGCCATTATGTCTTCAATGCCCCAATTCCATGGCTCTCAGAACTCTCTAATATAGAATAATTTGAGTGTTTAACTTTTATTCACGAGCTCAACTGACGGATTTTTTGGCCCAAATTTTTACCGGTTTTGGACCCTTCAAACAAGGGCAACAAATGGGCTCTGAGCGAGCAGGTTCTTGTATATCCCATAATAACATGGGTATTGAGTAACACTGAAATTAGATCTACATGAACACGTGCCAGTAAATACAGGATACGAATAAAAACTGCCATAACTAAACATTCCCCTGAAAAAAAAAAGCTTTTATAGATCATTTGGCAGTTTTGAACTCTTTTTATTCACATTCAGAAACACAAAGACAAAATATATATAAATATGTGGCGAAACTGGACGAGCACAAACACATTGAAACAAATCACTCATGCAGTTAAAGCTGTTTTCAACATTATATGCTAGCCTCTCAGAGAAACTTTATACGACATGCAAAAAGGGTGTTTGCACTCACACATATATTTGATACGAAGAATACATTTTTGGTTGCCACTTAAGGATGTGAACTAAATACATGTACAATGTACGTATACATGGGATCTGAAGTTCAACTCTGTCACGATTACACATGTAAATGTATGCTACTAAAAGCTGTGCAAAAAAGCAGACAAAAACAGAAATTGCACAGGCAAATATTTTCCCCATACTGACAAACTTTTAAATTATACATAACAAGTTTCAATGAATTTAAAGGCAAAGTCTTACAAGCCAAGACACAAATATGCAAATTGAAAAATGACATTTGTGTACTGTACTCGAGATGGAATTTGGAAGAACCAGTTTTTCTAATTTCAATTTTGCTGAACTTATGCACCAAAATGAAGGTTAGTATATCACGAGATAGTTTAGGCATAAATCTTTAATTGTTGATATCCAACACAAACCTGACACAATTTAATTAAGGATAATGTTGCCGGAGCTAATGAAGTGGATGATTTAAGTTTTGTGCTGTGGCGGCATTCACAAAAAATAGTAGAGTATTGACAATTCGATTGCAAACTGCCTGAGGTGGGTACTGTACCTGGTTCTTGGTTCATGTTGATATGCAGACATGTGGGCCCAATTTCTGCTAAGCACAAAAATTTGCTTAGCACAAAAAAAGTCTGGCTTTTAAAAGCAGGTTACCAGCCAAAACTCAATGTGATTTTCATGCTTCGCAAACAACAGCTGAATACCAATCACAAGCAATATAAATCACGTGGAGTTTTGGCTGGTAACCTGCTTTTATGAGCCAGACTTTTTTTGTGTTAAGCTAATTTTTGTGCTTAGCAGCGCCGTGAAATTGGCCCATGATCTGCTAGCTGAGCAGCACTAAAATCCCTCCCCCATTGTATGTAGCTATTGGCAAATAATGGCAATGTAGTTGTGCAGACCAATCAGTTCTATCACCAAGGCGAATGGCGAAAGCATTGTGCTAGCTATTGTTCAAATAAACTGTCACAGGGCACATTCTTTCAACAATAGCATGAACAATGGTTTCACCACTTGACCCTTTGGTGTAGAGGGCAGTTGCTAGCGACCACACAAGAAATGTTATAACTTGAGCATCTTATCACAAATATTCTGTGCAAATGGGTTAAGGGGGCCATGGGCGTGTACAGTAATGCGACCGGATTGTCTACAGGCAAGAAAGTCAAGAAAGTCACTCAAGCGTTGCAAGAAATGAAAAATTACTCAAGGATTTTATTGAAATGTCGCAGCAGTTTCATGGCAACAGTTTCCTTGCACAAAATGCTACCATTGCTTTCCTTTGGATATTTCTCAAACCTAGATGCATTTTGGCAGGAACTTTAATTTATCTTACGAAATCCTCCCCTGTAAAGCAGTGTTGTACAATGTACATGTAGTCAAGTCCATCACAAGTCTCTGCAAGTACCTGCAAGTCCATCACAAGTCCTTCAGTAAGTAAGATTTGAGGCTTTGCATGGTGGAGATACTAAATAATGAAAGGTTTGCGGAAACACCATGTGCGAATAATTTCTCAACTAAGAGAATGGTTCTGAAAAGAACCAGAGGTATAAACTCGACGTTCCGGTCAGTATGCTCTGACCGTCTTCAGGAGAGTGCCTAAACTCTAAGAAAGAAACACTTTGCTTTGCTACTTCATCGATTTCGCTTTGCTACTGAAGTGTTTACTTTCTTAGAGTTTCGGCACTCTCCTGAAGACGGTCAGAGCATACTGACCGGAACGTCAAGTTTATACCTCTGGTTCTTTTCAGAACCATTCTCTTAGTTGAGAAATTATTCGCACATGGTGTTTCCGCAAACCTTTCATTATTAAGTCCTTCAGTCTCAAGTCAAGTCACTAGTTACAAAAGCATTCAAGTGAACTGTTACAAAAGCATTCCTTTGTCATTGTTCATCTAGTTACTTGTGTCTTTTGTGACTGAATTTTTTATTTTTTTTTGTGACTGAAGTTATGAACGGACTCGTGAAGGGACTTGTCAAAGGACTTGTGTTGGACTGAACTACAACATTGCCGTGTAGGAAACCTGCATGACTTTTTCATAACCTTTATATATATTTCAAGGGGAATCACACCCCATGTAACGCAAGAGTAACTTGGCTGTTCCTTGTTTATCAGTCTTGCAAATTCCTCTAAACCTCCTGACGGATTTATAGGATCTGGGAGGGTTGAGGATCAGACAAGCATTTGGCTGTGGTACAAATCAAATCTAGTCAATGGGCTGATGTCTAACGTGAAAGTTGACCACATACTCCGTGTTGGTGCGCTGGACCGATATTGCAAAGGGCTCGTATGGGTGGAAGGTGAAAGCAACAAGGCGGCGGGCTGAGGGTGGCGACGGTCGGCCGAGCATCCCTGCATGGATCTTGAACTTCAAGATGCCAGAGTCTCGAGAATAGAACCTTTGTAAAGAAAACAAGAGCCGAATAAACAAACGTCAGGACTTATAAAATAATCATGCTTGTATAGGCATGGATAAGGGTCCTGGAAGATTATTTTGGAACACTAAACTAGAGTGGATTATACAGTCTATGTGGATTTGTACTAGGAGCATGTTGTTGAGTCCAATTGAGTGTAGCCTTTTGGACCAAGTCGTCAAGACTGCATGTCCTCAACATATACCATGTAGTCTATGCTCAATTCACTTTGTGACTTTGCTGCTCAGTCCAATGTCCAAGTATCTTCAGTCAAGATGGCTGTGTCAAGTATATGATAATAAAAGAGAGGTGCTTTAAGCACTGTTCTCCCTAAGTACTGAGGTACAGATGAAGTTTTCCAACAAATCTCAAACACTCCAACACAACAAAAGGATGAGCCAGTCTGCCAAACTGGAAATCTTATTGAATAATACATGTAGATAAGCCTTTACATGCTTCAGGTTGCACTAGAGCATTTCGATGGGTGTTTATTGAAACATTCGGAGCAGACCTAAAGCCTACCTGATTGGGTGATCTCCACATGCCTTAGGTCTTTCCATAACTGACACCCACTTATCATCATAGCTGAACAGTGAGAGGTCCAAGTAAGGGCTGCTACTGTATGACTGCGAGCTTATTGGGAGCTGGGCTAGAAGCCTCTTGACAGCCTCTGTGTGTCCACCGTACCTCGCGTTGATGATGGTGTGCTTAAACCTCCTCTGGATCTGCCTGGCGTAGATGTTGCTGGACGCAGAACATGTAAACTGGGCATGAGCGTGCAGGGTGGCATTGCGGAAAAGATCACAAAAATTCTCAAAGAGCTCCAGGAGCTCCTCTGATGTGTTCTCAAAGACTGCTACCACCTCAGTGGTCAGCATGTTGTAGACAACAAAGAAGGAAGGCTGTGAGTTGGGGTCCTGAGTCCTGAGTGTCACAACGTCTTCGCTGGCATACTTGATCAGCAGATGGTTCTCATCCAGGAGTTGGATCTTCCACATGCGCAGCCAGCGGAAGTAGTCAAAGTATTGGAAGAAGCGGCGCATGGCTCCTGGGGTGCCTTGGTGGTTGGCTTGCCTCCACAGATACACAAGGAGACGATGCTTCAAGGAGTTAATTGAGGTATCCCGGTAGGGTCGAGCCAGGGAAGGGTGGGGCGGGAGAAGGCCACCTTCCTGACTTGCCAACAGCACAAGGCCATCATCCTCATAGCAGAATTGACCAATAGTCCGTACATCAATAAAATTGCCATCTGGGGTGACCTGGAAGATGTGAATAGTTTGCTGTTGGACAGACAGGACTGCAAGTATGTTCTTGTAGAGGTACAAGCCCTGATTGTGGGACAGAAAGACCTTGTCACACTTGAAGGTCCGGGAGTCACAAAGAACTCCTAGCTGCAGGTCAACCAGGTGCAAGGAATAGTCCTCCAGTGGGGAACGTGGATTCGGAGACACAGATTCATTGTTCCGGTAGACGTCGTAGAAATGAGGGTACGGCTCTTCAGGGACATAGGATGCAGATCCCACGATGACGTAGCGTCCATCATCTGTGAACAGGCTGCACTCTCGATTGAGGTGCTCCCCATTGGGGGCAACACTGACGACATGCTGCAATGCGAAAAACCTCTGGAAGAGCTGACCGCGAATGCCTTGCGCTTCCACAACGTCCACAGGAGCCTTCTTGCTTATCCTCTGCAATAGATCACACGCGGCAGCCGGCCCCTGGAATCTGTAAATCTCTAGAGATGTCTGGTCAGCAGAAAAGGCAATGAAGTACTTCCCGTCTGGAGAGAACTTCCGTAGGAAGCAGGGCGGTTTCTCAACATTCACAACAGTGAACCCGGGAAACACGTTTTGGTGAAAGGACCTGGCGACATGGAATTGAGTGCCTGGTTTACAACGATGGGTTTGCCGGTGGAAAAGTCGGTACACTATGTTCTGGTGAGGAATCTTCCGAGGGCGGATAAAATCCTCTTCTGGCAGATTTACACTCTGTTTATCAGTCTTCCCTGTAAGGCCACTGCAGTTGTTACTATTTATTAACCCATTTTGTGAGATTTCTTTTGGAGTTGTCATACCTCATAGTTGTTACGAAGACATGGCTTGAAACACAGAAAATCTGTTGATCCTGAGTAAAACCAGAAAAAACAACAACTTTAGTATGTATTGTTGATGTACCCTAACGTGGCGCGGCCCCTAACGTGGCGCACTTTTATTTTTCGCCTGTAGCCCCTAGCTAGAGCAAAAGTTTTAACTGAAATTTCACAGAAAGTGAAATTTCATCAAGTTCTAAACACTCCCGTTCATAAATCGCGAGTTTATTTACCCGTTACAAAGTTAAAATAAAAAATTATTTTGGCGTGATTTTCTGATTTTATTTTCAAGTGCAAAGTGAACCCTTTGAAAATGCCCCGAAAAATAAGAAAATAATTTTCTGACAAACATCTTGCTGGGTTTGTAAGTAAAGATAAAAATTATTTATCAGAATTTATCAAGTTTACAGAAATTCTTAAATGTTAATTTGGAATTTTCTGAGATTTATTCAAGTGCGCCACGTTAGGGAACACTCCGCCAATTTGTGCCCAATTTCCGGACGCGACCGTTTTTGCATTTCGGATTAAATTTTATGAAACCGAAATTGTTCACAGAGGTTAAATAGCAAGCATTAAAAAGGTTAAAGTACCAGTATTTCACTGCATGAATTTGAGGTTTGTCAACAAAGAGGTTTGGCAACACTACACGAGGAAAGTTGGGTAAGCTTTGAAGTGCGCCACGTTAGGGAACACGACTATACGGTAGTTGCTGCAAAGATGCCCACTTAATTCTATCAAGTGCTAAAGCTTTAAGTATTCTAAATTGAATGTTTAAAAAATCCACTCTTAGTGGCAATGTGGCAATTAATTTGCGATACAGTATGGGGATTAATGTACACACGCAGAGCTGTGTGGCACCGTATGTTTTTGTATCATTTTCAATTGATGGGCGCATAATTGCTTCGTTTACCGTTCCATCCAAGTATTAAAACCAGCCAAATTATCATGTGATGTAAGCCTCAGAGTGTTCGAGTCTAACTCAATCGCAAGTCTAACTCAATTGATCGTACCCATACCCAGGTCAACATTTTGTCAACTCGTAGTCGTACAAGGTCAACTCGTACCCAATTAAAGTCAACTCATTCCCCAGAACAACTCGCACTCAACTCAAGTCGTGCATCTGAGTTTCCAAAGACAGAAATAGAGGAAAGCAATAAACAATCCAGAGAAATCCAAAAGTTTCTTACACTTTCTCACGTGCCAACCTGAAAATATTGACCTCTTCGTGACTTAACGTGTCACTGTCACTACAGTATGGACAGAAAAATACTTTGTGGAGGCAGCCATGTTGAATGAGATTTTACCATAGTCTCACATAATTTTTGGATTAAATTTAAAAGTCGAAAATAAAATCGAAGTATTAATTTCAGTTTAAAAACAAACTAGGCAAAATATTCGTAACATTTTTTAAATGTAAATTGTACGATATCTTTTTCATGTGATACGCATTACTTCTCATTTCCACATTAAAATTTAACAATATATGACTGTGGTAAATCACGCGGGCTTAGTGTTTTATATTTGCTCACTACGCTTTGCATGCGTTAATGCATGCGCACTAGCTAATGCATATGATGCGATGCCATCTTTCTTTGTGTGTATTTTTCCCGTGTACTTCCTCGTTCGGATGTTCATGGTAAGTATTTTCCACGTATAAAATGCAGGTTTGCAAACGCTAATTTTGTTAAATATAATATTGTGATTGATGCATAATATTGGCACTTGTTTAAAAGTAACAAAAATATTTTTAGACCCTATTTTATAGTACAAAGAAGGATTTTAGGGCCGTTGACATGGAGGTACCAACCAACCCACGCGTTGTTGACCGTGCGGCGTTGTGCCTGGCTTGATGAAATGTACGTGGGTGTCAACTCGGTCCCACAGCAGTTGCGCGCGAGCCAGCTCGGTTCAGTTGTCAACTCGGCTCGGTCCAGCATTATTGTGGGTGATTTGTAGTGTAGACTGTAGGGCCTCTGTTTAGTTTGAGATCAAATTAGAGTCAAGGGTGTTTTTATTACTCAAAACTGACCTTTTTAATTTACATGATAAAGCAGACTTCTCTCAAAATAATGGCCGTGTGGTAATTTTTAATTAATTTAAACAGTTAATCTTGGTTGGAGGTGGCCGATGGGGTAGAAATTACGATGTTCCTACGCGGCTTTTGGTCTGTTGTGTTGTTTGGTCAGTGCCGTGCAATTCAGCGTGCCTTGCACGTTCTAACTTCACGGTACATGGCACGGTGCCAATTCCTTGATCACCATTATGCGGTGAATGAAAGAGTTGCTCAGGAGCCCTCTACCTTATTAGAAGCTGTTTAAAAAAGTAGCCAGTAGGACCTTTTTCATTTTGGATTGATAAAATTTTGAACCTTGCCCTTGGCATGCTTAGAAGCAGGAAAACTAATTTCCTAATAATGTAGTGATTGCCAGTGTTTTCATGTATGAGGAAAATTATGGGGTAATTTGATAACAGTGCCTGCCCCGCTGTGATTTGAACATCTCTAAGAAAGCGATAACATGTCCTAAAAAGTCAAATTCAGCAGGAGAGATATTGGAATTTTTCAGACCATTTGTGCACAGGGTGTCATGTAATGTCCAGGTATAGAACTATTTCCCCTATGTTCTTGAAACTCTATAGTTCTTGAGTCTGGAGTCCTGCATGGTAATGCATACATAGCAACTGATGAAAAGTGGTGTGCAAATGAATAGATTTTTTCATCGAATGACGTCTTCCATCCCCAAGAATTACAAACACAATGCATTAATTACCATACCAACTCGAGCGAACTCGTGGCTCGATAGCTTCCTGCGTTAGACTGATAAGCGCGGTGTCATGACTGGTCATGAGTTTGAAACGCACTCGCAGTACTCATTAATTAACCTTCTACTATTTAAGAGGTCACCAATGGTCAAAATGTTTGTATCTCACCTCCTGGCATACTGTGTACAAACCAATGGGAGTCTTGACCAATATTGACCCAAGTACCAACCAGGCTGACAATGCATGTTTCCATAGGAGGGTTAACAAATATTTTCATTCTCTCACAAGTTTTCTCTGTTTATTGTTAAAAATCGAATCCTGCTTTTAATTGCAGAATAAATCATCTTCTTTTACTGATTCGTAGCTCTGGAGGATTTTTTCAAGGGGAAATAAGGCAGAAAATTGCAAAAGGTCCGAGTCCCGTCTCCTGAATACGAAATCACAACGAGTGTACGTGCAGGCCAGACAAAGATTCGTCACTGTAAAGTAAAGTTTGAAAACCATTCGCAGACTGTAGTTGTTAAGCCGCTCCAGGGTACTGTGTCGGAAATCGCCTTGATTCCCTGTTATACCAGTGGGAACTGCGGAGATCGTCAGAGCAGTGTAGGGCCCGAGAAACATGGATTCGTTTTGGGAGCAATTTGCCTCCAATTTGTAGTTGATTGCAAACCTTTTGGATTCATGGAGTAATAAGGAAACGATTAATGGACAAAGGACAATTTATTTCTGTGCTGGAACAATCAATATATTACTTGTTTTATTCACTCTCTCGTTAATCACTTCTACAACTTACAGGACTTCTATTGGCTCTTAAGTAAATATTTATTCAGACTAAGATTAGAAATTGGTTTAATTGGTTACCCGCAAACGTCAGCCACAGATGTAACCCACAATTGTCAACCACTGATACCCACAAGTATCATCTGCAAACTTAATCCACAGATGTCATCCACAATTTGTCATCCACAAATGTCATCTGCGAATGTCATCCAAAGATGTCACCCACAGATATGGACAGTTAATGAACACTTATTATAAGAAACTCACTGGAAATTGGACTGGAGGGTATACGAGTTACAGCTTTATTTTCACCGCCTGTCTGAACCCTGTTCTGAGGTACCTTTTCTACCTATGCGAATGCTCGACCTATATCCTATTTCTCAGCCCAATTTACAAAATAAAAGAATGATTAAAGATATAGGGGCCTAATTCTGTTAAATGATTTATTCATACACAATATTTGGTTTGATCAAAATATTTACAGAAATTCAAGCAGCAATTAACAGTTATTAAACTTTGTTTTACATGAATAATTGAAATGGAAGTCCAATGATTATCAAATCAGTTTCTTTCATGAGCTACTTTTCTTTTGACACTCTTTAAACATAACTTAAATCTGAACCTTTACTTAAAAACACAAAACTGGTAACCCTTGACTGCTTGACTGTGAAAGCTATACTTAAAAACAGACCTAAACCTGGGGGAGCTCATGATCTGATGATCTGGTCACCCACGGTGATGTCCGTAAATGTGAATAATTTCACCATTTCACGGTGCTTAACGTTGGTGGGTGGGGGACTTGCTGCGGCACACAGGGACCCTCCACCAGCTCCGGCATGATGATGCTGACGTCTCTGGAGCGTTGGTTTTCTGTTTCAATAGCCACTCTTTCTGTTTCCAACTCTGCTGACTCTGGTTTTTGCTTTGGGGATTTCTGCGTCTTGTACTTGACCTCCACATCTTGGTGGGTCAGTCTCAGGCATTTCCTCATTGTCAATTCTGACCCTGTCTTCAAGACCCTGTCTTCAAGACCGTGTCCTAAAGGTTCAGGACTCTTTTCCCTCAAATCTTTAATCGGTCAACGTAGACCACCTTTGGTTTTCCTCCATTCCAACGCCTAATGCAGAATGTCACATCAGACAACTTGATGATGATCAGCCACAGTTCCTCCCTTCTGAGTAGTTACTTGGGGGACGCTTCTTTTTTTTAGCTGGGTCGTGCAACCACACAAGCTGACCTACTCTTTTATAGGCCTTTGTCTTTCGCCCTTCTTATCATAGTTTCTCTTTTGTCTGCGGGAACTTTTACCCAGGCATTTTCTAGCCCAATCGTTAGCTCTCTGCAGGTTATATCTCAACCTCTCTGCGTAGCCTGTATCTCTGTTATCTTGGTTTGCAACATACCCAGTCACCATGCAAGTCGACAGGTAAACAAACCTCTCTCCCCATCATCATCATATTGGGTGTAGAGTCGTGCGGTGTGCAACTAATGCAAACGTCACATAAGGGAGGAACTCATCCCAATCTTTCTGACCTCTCTCGGGATTGATCATCATCACTACTATTTTGGTCAACGTCTTTTTGAATCTCTTTACCATCCCATCCGATTTGGGATTGTAGGCGGTTGTATTGGTTTTGGTGATCCTGATAATTTGGTACATCACACCGAATACCTTCACCTCAAAATTAGTACCCTGGTCTGAGTGGAGTTCCTGTGGTGCCCCAAACGGACACACACTGTGGCATCAGGAAGTGGGTAGGCTTCCATCCACTCTTTCTAATGGAACCCCAACCTGATAGTGCTGCAAAAGCACAACCTCCTTCTTTGGAGGCGACTTTCAGCGGACACGATTGACCAGTAGTACATTTACTTCACTTTGGCCAGTTTTTACGGACACTCAGATGACCGCTGAGCTGTCCACCATGCAGCTCAGTCAGAATCTCTTTCCTAAAGTTCTTGGGGATTACCAGGAGCCATCTGAGGGTTTTCCCATCGTCCAACTCCCATCTTTTGTACAGCAGCCCATCACAGACTGCAAACTGGTCCTAACTTGCCCAGTATGTCTGTTGCTTCCTCTCGGCAGCCTCATCCAACAAATGGTTCCCCAGCACTACTGGTGCACTGGATTCTTTCACCCTTAAACTTCCATTCTCTCGTCTTGAAATCCAAATCACCCCTGATGATAATAGGAAATCCATCCCTAATATTTCCCAGTTCCTTCATCTCAGTATAGATCGCTTTAACCGGATGTGTTGGTCTGCCAATCTGCACCTTGACCCACGCATGGCCCAACACTACTAGTGGACTACCATGCACCTGTCGCGCCTGTCGCACCTGCACTTGATACATCTGTAAAACGGGCCACTTCTCTATGGGCATCATGTAATAGACTGAAGTGTTGTGTATGTGTGGACCCGGTATCAATTAAGAGCCAACACTTGGTATCCTTTATTGTATCGTCCACAAATAAACCTGACTGGAGACAGGTACTTGAGCATGGCGAAGTCCTTCTCTATGCCTTTGCTCTGTTGTCCTCCCACTTTCTTAAACTTTTCCTGACTCAAAGTGTTGTCTTTTGGACCCTCTCCAGTCTCAAGCCTGACTCTAGGTCCACCGGTCGGCTAACCACCATTTCCGTGAATGAAAGCCTTTCAGTTTTTTTTGCACTCTCTGGTGAAATGCCCCTTCTCCTGGCAATTATAGCACCTTATGCTACCACTCTCCACCCCTGGGGACTTTTCCCTCTTCTTAGCAACTTTCCCTCCTCTTTGACACCCTGGATTTGGACTTGTTTTGACAGCTGTGCTGATAGCCCAGTTATGTTGCAAAAGCTCTGTCTATAGATCTTACTTAACCTCTGTTCCACACCTGTATCTAGTGCCCTTGCTATCTTTGTTGGCTAAGCATCAAGTAGCCTTTGCTGCTCTAATCTCTCAAAGTTTTATGTCTCTAAGCTGCCCGCAGTGACTCGTTCAAGTTCTTCGGACAGGTCCGATTTATCCCTTCCCAGATGGAACGGCTATCCACCACATCTAGGAAGCAATTCTTTGCCAAGAGATCGCGGGACTCTCCCTGAATGTCTTTGACCACTAACTCTTAAACGGCTTGCGCCA